TTGAATCGGCTTTCCCACAAGCAAGCGCGGGGCGCCAGCAGCCATGTTGAAGAGATGGCAGTTCTTGAAGTGGCAAAATGCCTCCACGGCAAAGGGCTTGGCGCCGTCAATCTCCGGAAAAATGGCACCACATGATGGTGGGAAGTCACCAAACGCTTGTCCCCGTTGATGGGTCATCCTTCGCGACCGCCAGCATGGAGATGTAGGAAGCAAAGGCGTTGCCGCGAGGAAAGAAGATGCCCAAGTCAGAGCAAGAGAGATCTCGATATGGATCTGCCACTGGCAACACAGCGCCTTCTGGCTTTCCAAGCGGATCACCTTCTTGACCATAGGCCGGTCCGAGTCGTCGTAGAGCTTGCCAAGCTCGCAGCTAGAACCTGGAACTGCGAAGCCTGCGTGGGCGCGCCGGCTTCGGTCTGGGAAGCGCCTCTGACCTGAGACGCATCCACTTGCGTGGCGGCCGGCCCCATCTCCGCAGGTCGTCGCGCTGAACGACCTTGAGTCATGTTCGGAGCTGTTGCTAGTCGAACATCAAAAGGCCCCTTGAAGCACAGCGCCTGCGTGCCCTTCTCCGCAATCAGCTCCGCAAGTTTGGCCTTGTCGTCCACGCTGGCGAGCACCGCCTGCTCGCCGCGGATGAGCACCTTCTCCACCGTGCCACTCCAGTCAGCAATGCGCGCTGTGGCTAGCACTTTCAAAGCAAGGTCCGGCTGGCTGGGGCAAGAGCTTGTGTCTGCTTGCTTGCACGTGCCGCACACTTGGCATGGCCTGTGCACAAGATCTCCCACAACGCCTACCAGCCAAGCCGCGTGCACCGCAACCTCTAGCTTGTCCTCGCGAGGAGCGTTCAGGGCAAACACTACAGAAAATACGCCCTCATTGCAAGGAAAATATGCCAATTTCTTGCGCCTGCATCCAAGCCTGCCTTGCGCCACGGCCAGGCCACACGCGCACATGTTGGCTGCGCAGGCTACGTAGCAGGCAGACAAGTCAGAAGACAAGCGCCCGCCCACGCCGAGAGAAGGAGTCCAAGGAACAGAGATGGCCTTGCCTCGACTGGTGTCCAAAGCCCGGAGCTTGTCTGCCTTGTCACCTCTTGGATCGCAGCGCAGCCAAGAAAAGCTGCGCTTGTCACTCTCGAGCCAGTATAAGTATATGTAAGTATTAAATGGCTACCCTTCCCTAGCAAACACAACATGCGGCCCCAATCAGTTTCCCTGCAAATTTGTAATGTGTCACCCATCTGGTGACAACTGTCTGATAACACTTCGAACATATGAAAAAGCAGAATTAAAGCAGTGCTGGAAAACACCGAACTGACGCCAGTGAGACACCATCGTCGCCGGAGCCGAAGAGCTGCTGGGCTCCTGCAAGTGGAGACACCAACAAAACAAACAATAGCCAGCTTGCAATGATTTTGAACCTGGCCTGCGCGCACAGCTGCTCCACGACAGCAGCCACCAGGTCAGCTTTTGACACACTGCTGCCTGCAGAAAGCACACCCAACTGCCGGGCCAGCGCGCGAAGTACCTCTTGCTGGAGCCACGCCTTGCCGTTCGCCGACAAGCCAGCACGAAGCGTCGCCATGAAAACCTCTGCCTTGTCCTGCGATGTCAATGAGATGAGGCTACCATTCCGCAACAAACACACCGACTACAACCAAGTCGAGACACCGGCGTCGGCGAAGCCGCAGAACTGCTTGGCTCCTGGCAACAATCCCACAGCAAAACAAACACCTGCAAAACTTTCCAGATTTCGATCCTGGCCTGTGGGCACAGCTGCTCCACGACAGCGGCAGCTAGGTCTGCCTTGGTCACTTTGCTCACATCCAGCTGTCGGGCGAGTGCACGAAGTTGGGGTTGGGCTTTGGCCGCCACCTCTTGCTGCAGCCACGCTTTGCCATGCTGGGCCGCGCCAGCCTGAAGCCTAGCTACTTCGAGCTCCATGACTTCTGTTTGAGCCAAATCTCATCCGCAAGATGCCACATAACAACCAGCCGTGTGCGCCATGCCCGCAAATAAGCCGCTTGTCACCTAAAGTCTGAACCACAGAAGCAACTGACAGAATGGAATCTCGTAGATGCACGAAAAGCTCCCCGCAACTTCTTTCATGATGAGAACTCCTTGCGTCAAACTCCTAGAGAACGAGTGGCCTGAAAGCATAACTCTTCACGATGTGCGGCAAACTTGTTTAACCCCGGCCTGGCACATGCACAAGTTGCTCTGCGCAAGTTGCTTTGCGCAAGTTGCTCTGTGCGAGTTGCAGTGTGTGCAAGCTGCTCTGGGCAAGGTGCTCTGTGCAAGTTGGTCTGCGCAAGTTGGTCTGCGCAAGTTGCTCTGCGCAAGTTGCTCGGTGCAAGTTGCTCTGCGCAGGTTGCTCCGCGCAAGTTGCTCCGTGCAAATTGCTCCCTGCAAGTGGCTCCCTGCAAGTTGCTCTGTGCAAATTGCTTCCTGCAAGTTGCTCCCTGCAAGTTGCTCTGTGCAAGCTGCTCTGTGCAAGTTGCTCTGCGCAAGCTGCTCTGCGTAAGTTGCTCTGCGCAAGTTGTTCTAGGCAAGGCGCTCTGCGCAAACTGGTCTGTGCAAGTTGCTCTGCGCAAGTTGCTCTGCGCAAACTGGTCTGTGCAACTTGCTCTGCGCAAGTTGCTCTGCGCAAGTTGCTTTATGCAAGTTGCTCCGTGCAGCTTGCAAAGCCCGCCCGCGGACCAGGGGGGAATCGAACCCACGACCCGCCGGTCACGAGACAACTCCCGAGGACCACATCGAACAACAAAAGACGCAAACAACCTCGAGTTTTTGAACCTCGACCACGCCGGGAACCGCAGAAATCGTAAAAAACCTCGAGTTTTTGCACCTCGAGCACGCCGATCCCCGCAGAGTATCGCGCGAGCATGTTAAAAATCGCAAAAAACCTCGAGTTTTTGCACCTCGAGCACGCCGATCCCCGCAGAGGGTCGCGCGGGCATGCTAAAAATCGCAAAAACCCTCGAGTTTTCGCACCTCGAGCACGCCGATCCTCGCAGAGTATCGCGCGAGCATGTTAAAAATCGCAAAGAACCTCGAGTTTTTGCACCTCGAGCACGCCGATTTCCGCAGAGGGTCGCGCGGGCATGCTAAAACTCGCAAAAATCCTCGAGTTTTTGCACCTCGAGCACGCCGATCCCCGCAGAGTATCGCGCGAGCATGTTAAAAATCGCAAAAACCCTTGAGTTTTTGCACCTGGAGCATGCCGATCCCCGCAGAGGGTCCAAGGTATGGGATGTCGTCCTTGACTTGTAAGTGCACGAATCCCTGCTTTGGTGTAACCATGAAAGGTAGTTTACCAGGCATCCAGTGAAATGCATAACCCATCTTCATGCACCTCCTCCCTACTGACAACACCGTGGGTGTCTCGTCCAACACGTGCGGCTCGACAGTCTCGTCCAACTCGTCCACGACTATCTTGGCCACGTCAGACGCGGAAGTGGAACCATTTGCGGTCTGGAACACAATCTCGTCATCATCTTTCACAATATCGACACCCAGGCTCTTTGCCTTGGCTCGTCCGATGAGATCATGACCACATCCGGTGTCCATCAACCACTTCACCCGTTTGCTGATGCACGTTGACATTGCGAACACATTCTTCGGCAAACCATGCTGTTTCCTCCAGTCGACGGCCGATTCTCTGATCTCGTCCTTGTTCCGATCATATTCAAACATTATGCTGCTCTCCTTGGTTACTAGGAAGTAGTGTTTCTTGTATACGTCGTCTACCACCTCTCTCAGTATTCTCGCTCTTATCAATGATCGTTGGACTTGATAGGCTGATAATTCTCGATGATCACTGCTCTTAAACTTCTTCTCGTCGACGTGCACGTACTGATAAGGCTCATTCTCATTGTCCTCATAGCCGTACCATTCCCCTTTTCGTTCCCATTGCCTTCTCTCGTCTTCGAGATATGTGATCTCTCCATTCTCGTCGACATCGAGTACTTCCTTGAACCATACCATTTTCTCGGGGATCTCGGACTCGCCAGACCATCTTGCTGATTCGCTCATTGCGTCGTTATCATGCTCGTGGTAGACAGTCTCGGCTTCATCCGGTTCGACCTGGTCAACGTCCTTCTTGCGCGGGCACCGCAAAAAACACAAAAAACCTCGAGTTCTTGCACCTCGACCACGCCAATCCCCGCAGAGGGTCGATTTTCGTGAAGTGTCGTCGGGTACCCCGCCGCCCTAAGAAGAGATTTTAACTCCTCACAAGTCAATTGCACTTGATTCCTTGCACTTGCAACTTGCGCTTGACTCCTTGCACTTCCAACTTGCACTTGACTCCTTGCACTTCCAACTTCACTTGACTCCTTGCACTTGCAACTTGCACTTGGCTCCTTGCACTTGCAACTTGCACTTGACTCCATGCACTTGGCTCCTTGCAGCTTGCAATGACTCTCATGACTCCTTGCAATGACTCCTTGCAATGACTCCTTGCAATGACTCCTTGCAATGACGCCTTGCCATGACTTTCATGATGATGATTCCTTGCAATGACACCTTGTATTGACTCTCATGAGAACAACTCAAGCGAACCCAGCGGAAGAACCCTTCGCCCTTTCGGGAAAAAATAAAAATGTCTCAGTTGTTCTTGCATTCTTGGATGCATCTGTATGCATGCATCCGTATCATATACATGTATGACCCCCCCCCCCCCAACACTGTACATGCTTGTTCATTTTGCAAAACATCTATCACGTATATTCAAATATCACGTATATATAGCTACTCAAAAGAGGTTCCAAACCAAGCCGTCTCATTCTTCAGCTCCACCCCTTTGCCATCAAAGCACATGCTTAAGCAAGCCTGCGTTATGAATCTGCCCCAGGCAGCCACACGGTTCACACATGCGTGCAGCCTCACGAGCAACGCTTTGCTTGTCCATCCTTCTCCCTCTCTCCCTCTCTCCCTCTTCTTTCTTTCTGTCTTTCTGGTTCTCATTATGGTCACTGCTTTCAATTTCTTCTCCGCCTGCGCTGGCTCCGAATCTCCCGGTCCCTGCTTTCGCCAGGCGCCGGATCAGCTCCACGCGGCGCTGCCGGCTCTGCTCCTCCTGCTGCTGACCTAAGATCGGAGTTTACTCGCGGCCAACCACGCGATGATTGATTTCCCCGGTCTTTCCCGCCCTACGATGGCTATTTCTCCCCACTTGGTCCATCCTGCGGCCCTTGTCTTGTTGCTTTGCCGCCGAAGCCCGCCAAACTTCAGGTGTATCGCCCTGTCCCTCTCTCCCCCTTTTCGCCCGCGCGGCGGCGGTCGCGGTGCTGCGCCTCGGCCAACTCCACCTCCTCGAGCCGAGCCAAGTTGGCTCGACGTTGCGAACTCCTAGACGTTTCGCCTTAAATGACCTTACATTGACATACCTTGATATACTCCATTCGTGACTTTGCATGCAGTGGCTTCCTCACTGTCAAGAGGCCCCGACACAGAATCACATTTGGCAAAGCACGGGCTTGCACTTGAATTCCGTGGGGCTGGCAAGAACCGAGTTTGAAAGGGTCGCGAGACAAAGGAAGACAAATTAGAGGGTTTCTTGATTCATGTTTTTGTTTTTTCTCCTGGCGGTGGGCACCGCAGAGTGCCGCAGCCCGGCGCAGGCTGAGCAGCAGCTCGGAGAGCGCCTCCGCCAGGGCTGCGGCGGAGCCGCAGGCCCCGAGCAGCCGCACATCCCGCAGCGAGGACGACAGGTCCAGCGCCAGGACGCGGCCGCCCAGCACGACGCGTAGCATCTCGAGGTCCTGGCACCGCGCGGTCTCCGCCTCCTGGCGCTGCTGCCGGCCCTTCGCCTCCTCCGCGGCCAGCTCCGCCTTCAACGCCTGCCGGGACCGGGACGCATCGGCGCCGGCGCCCAGGCGGTCCCACCACTGCACCAACAGCGGCTCCAGCTCCGGCCCAACCTCGCACTCTTCTCGCTTCGGCTTCGGCGCCGCTTTCACGCCCGCTGCGGCTAGGACCTAGGCCGAATCCACGCCTCAAGGCAACTGCACAAATTCACTGAGTGTCCTGCCTCAGACTGGCTAGGCCGCAGTGACAGCTCGGCCCTGCCCAAATCTGAAAACCGGGCGTGCTCAACTGCTGCAAATTCATGCACGTGAACAAATGCATTTTGGGTCAGAATCCATGGCGCTTGCACGACATAGGCCAACGTGACTTTGAGTTTGCTGGCCAAGTGAGGGAATCCGCGGGCTGCAACAAATCATGGCAGCATTGAATTTGTTGAGAATCAAGACCTCCATCTGACCTGTGGCAGAAATGAAGCAGCACAAGGATTCCGACTGGTGCGATGCCTCAACACCCAATCATCTCTCTGGACCAGCTCCCGGCGCCATGGGGAGCTTTGCAACATCAAATGCATTTGACATCAACCGCCGATAAGTGGCGATGTAACGAGAAAAATGCCCGAATGAACATGTCAAAAGACACAACAGGCAGAAGTGTCGATTTGAAATCAAGGATGTGAACCAACAAGACTAAGGCATCTCTAGCTCAAATTAGCTTCTTGCAAGGCTGCCAAAAACCACAGTAATGATCTGAAACCCGACTGCCACGTCCACCAAACCCCATCATGCCTCAACTTGCACTAGCTATCCACAGCATTCGGGTCTTGTTGGCAGTGATGTGTATGGAACTGTTCAAAGTGAATCCAAGCACCTTTTCCCTCGCGCATCAGACGTCATCCAGACTCATCCCTAAAGGCTAGGTATGTTTCACGGATTGCTCCGCCACAAACAAATCAGGGTTCCTTTCCCTCACCGCGTCTTCTTGCGCCCTGCTCATGCTGCAGGTGCTCCTGATTTGCATCATTGGTGGCACCCATTGCGCTGCTGCACATCAGCATCCAGAAGGCCAAGCATGCGCCCAATTGAGCTTCTCAAAAGGCGCATGCATGGCGTATGCCCGGCTGCGCGAAACTCGCGATCGAACGAAGACACTTGAGCGCGGCGTGCGCAGATCGTGCTTCTCTGGGCGACGCCGCGGTGCTCTCGTGCTCCTTGATCCCCTTGAAGGAGGAATATCCGTCGAAAGAAGCTTGCGCCGCGCACATTCAACGCTGAGACACGCTTCCGGCCAAAGAACGCGAATCTGGGGTGTGCATGTCGTCAGTCTGACGGCATGCTGTTACTCACGCGTCTCACTTCGGGGTAGCAGATCGCTAGGTAAATTTGTTAGACGTTTGCATACAGTTTTGCCTCGCTATCTGATGATCCTGGAAAATGTTGAAACCTTTCACAGGGTTGCCCGTTCCACGTACTGCTAAGATCACCCCAAACGAAACTCAGTTCTCATTGGCAAGAGTTAAGACCTGATCTTGCCCACACAGGCCAAAAGCGCGCAAAAAAACTTGAAGAAGTCCACATCTGGAAGACTCAAAAAACTCAAAAACAACTCAATCAACAAAACCACTGCCCAAACCCATGATTGATTCTATCACACGCAGGGCGCCTTCCAAAAGACGTGGAGGTCCGTAACCAAAAACAACACTGCAGTCCGGCCCATGGGACCATGACCCGTTGAACATGAATTGGATGCGCTTTGCTGCAAAGTATAGGCCACGCATTCTCCGACCCTCTGTCCCGGCCTGGCAGGCGGCCGCCTCGCAAGTCTCGACAGCAAGAAATTCAACTGGCGGTCGGTCCGGGTTGGTCCGGATCGGTCCGGGTTGGTCCGGATCGGTTGGTCCGGGTCGGTCCGTGCTGGTCCGGATCGGTCCGGGTCCGGGTTGGTCCGGGTCGGTCCGGATCGGCCGGGTTGGTCCAAATCGGTCCGGGTCGGTCAGGGGCCCAGGTTGGTCCGAGATCGGTCCGGGTCGGTCCGGGTCAGTCCCGGATTGGTCCGGGTCGGTCTGGGTCGGGTTGGGCGCTAGGTGCAATTCCTAGTGGCAGGGCTGACTTTGGCAGCGCGCTCACGCACGCTGCCAGCTCTTCCATCGACATGGCTCTCAAGTTTCGGGCATGCCGAGGCTAGACTTTTGCGCTGAGATGCATCCTCGAATGGCGGTTTTTAGTCTCTGCACCATGTTGCAATGGCACCCCACATTCCAGACCCAACCTGTTTGCTCCAAAGGGTGGGCTCCAGAGGCGGCTCAGGACATGACTTGCCATGACTCGTCATGACTTGTCTTCGCGCGTTGCCCTCCGTCACTTTTCCTCACACGTAAAGTCAGTCAGGGCGGTGGCTTGGCCACGTGCAATCGGAAGGGCGCCCCGCGGGATTCGCGCGGCGCAGCTCGTTTCAGCTTCAGGGCCTTGTGACAAACAAGTGTTCTAAAGAAAGTAGTCCGAAATGCAAATCCCAAAGTTCCCACAGCGCCTGGACCTTGGAACCATGAAGTGAAGCTGGTTTCAACTTTGGAATGTTCGCGTTGGATCGGGCTTTGAAGATGTTGGTTTTTTGGCATGAAGCTGTCAAGCGTTCTCAATTGTTTGAATGATTTGTTCATTTGTTCGACTTCATCCACTTCTCAATTCTCGTGCTTGGATTCAATTCCCTTCCCCGACGGATGGCTTGGGGTCGCACCAGTCGGGCACGGGGGACGGGGTCCGCATCTCCTGGCCCACAACGTCATGCAAACATCTTGTCTTGGCACGGAGGAAGCGGTCAGACCCCTTTGGACATCATAGGGATCTTCTCGTCCCCAGATCACGTGACCCGAAACCCAGCCAACCCCGTGCGCAGCCGCAAATGCTTGGCCCGGCCGCCGGGCCACCCAGCCGTCAGCTCCCACTCTGCGCGCCGAACCGGGCTGAGGGCTAAGGCGGTGTCAGCTGCCTGCCGGCTTCCAGCGTCCAAACATCCAGACCCGGACCCAGCCCCCAACCTCAACACTCAACCCACCCACCAGACTGCTCAGCCCAGCCGGCATCAGTTGCACAAGCCCGACATTGCTCTTAAAGTTCTTTTGAGCCTGGCCAAGGGAGCGTTGACAATTCAAAACATACAAGCTCTGCAACTTCTGTAATCTACTTAATTTAATCTCAGCTCGGCAATTGAACCTCGCTCTTCAGTCTCTCACGTTGCTCCAGCGCATCCATGACCATCAGCACCAACTCGCGCGCCACTTGGCTTGCCACCTGAAAACAGAACCCATTCAGCTGCAATCTCAAAAGGCCCGCCGAACATTCGACTGACAGGACCTCTTGCTCCAGCTCGGCCGGCTTCCCTGGCGCGCTGGCGTGCATCCAGTTTGAAGTGGTGCACTTGCTATAGACCAAACAGATAGACCGAATAGACTGCAGAATGACGCTTCAGGCGAAGCTGCCTTGAAGGACTGCCGGCGATGTGGATGGCCGGTCCCTCGAATCCCGCGAGAAGAAACACGAGGCACGCACGGGGCACGCACGCGCCTTGCTTCACTTGCTAGCCTTGCCGGATTTTGAGCACAGACCAACGTAGCAGCTTGCAAGCCGCACTGTCCTCTGCAGCATGGGGGTGATGGATTCGCATGCCTTGGTTGCAGGCAAAAAAGCCTGAAGCTCAGTTTGTTCTTGCAAATGTCCCTTCCTGTTTACCTTCTAGTTTCTTTAGTTTCTTTAGTTTCTTTAGTTTCTTTAGTTTCTTTAGTTTGTTCTAGTTTCTTCCGTTTACGTCTGCTTTGCCTCTAAGTGCACCGCCCTCCCGGACACCTCCTCCGCCACGCACGCCGAGATGCTCCGGATGACGCCCGAGGCCTCACAAAAGAGGAACACTGCTAAGTGGCTGAGCTCAAGCAAAGAGGCTGGAAAAACGGGCGTGGCGAGAAAAGGAGCCGACCAGCCCGGATCGGGGCCCAGGCACCTGCCTGCCGTCGGTGGACCTCTCGCGCGAAGGACAACGACGAAAGAGGAACAGCTTTGAACTAGCCTTGAATTCTTCCTCCAAGCCAGCCACCTTCACACGCAAATCCTTGCAAGTCTGTCTCACTTGCGCTTGCAGGCATGCCATGCAGACAGCAAGCTCCTCTGGGCTGCGCAACTCCTCGCAAGAATGCATGGGCAATGAAAGCTGCAACCAGCCACTTGCCAAAGCTGCAGGTCTAGTTGGCTGCTTGGCCTCGAAAGAAACAGAGGGTGGGAACTTGGCAAGTGGGTTCCTACAACCCTTTCGTCCAAAGCACCGTCGCGCTCCTGACAACATGCACCCAGAAGTGACACCAGGATGTTGCCACCACCAGCCCAAGGCTTACACAAGCCCCAAAGTGCCAAGAAGTGACACCAGGCCAAGCTCATGCGTCCTTCAAGCGAGCCTCAAGGCCACGATGGTTCTCCTCGCACGCATGCAGCATGCCCCCAGCGCGCCTGGGGCGCGCGCATGGCAGCACGCTCCTCCAGGCGAGACATCGCGCCGCTGTGTTCCTGCCTGTGCTCCTTGCAAGCATTTTTGAAGGCAAGCAGCAAGCTGGAACGCCCTCATGAAAGCCAAACTCGGCGTCAATATGATTGAGAACCGGCCAGCAAAAAGCTAGAATCTGGTCAACATAGAAAAACATAAGGCTGAAATACGGCCTAATTCAGGATTGTGTTGGCTCGTGCTTCGCAGAAGTTACTCGAAGTGAAGCGTCACCGCCTAGCACGTTGCCAACGACATAAATGGTGCCGCACGATGAAGGCTTGGCTGATGGTGTGGGAACAATGGCGAGGAAGCCATAGATTCACATGGCAATGATGCATGCGCGGGCTGATTCCCCACGACTAAATGTTGTTGCCAGGGATGCTGTCAATCAAGTAAGGCATGAGCGTGGCGAGGATGATGCGGGGATGTGGATGGCTGTGGGTGACGCAGGTGATTTGAATGGTGTGGATGATCCTCAAAAAAAGAACATCAAACAGTGATCATGACAACCGCACAAAAGCTTTACAGCAAAAGCATGCTGGCAATGCATTTTGCCACCACCAGGGCCCAAGGCTTACACAAGCCCCAAAGTGCCAAGAAGTGACACCAGGCCAAGCTCATGCGTCCTTCAAGCGAGCCTCAAGGCCACGATGGTTCTCCTCGCACGCATGCAGCATGCGACCAGCGCGCCTGGGGCGCGCGCATGGCAGCACGCTCCTCCAGGCGAGACATCGCGCCGCTGTGTTCCTGCCTGTGCTCCTTGCAAGCATTTTTGAAGGCAAGCAGCAAGCTGGAACGCCCTCGTGAAACTGCATGAAGAAATCCTCAAGCCGCTGATGCAGCGCGGAACTGTGCTCCTGGCATTGCATTCTCGCCCGCCTTCAGAATTGTAGAGCCCTTGCCTGCAACTGCCTCTCCAACTGGCAGCTGCTTTTTTCAAGGTGCCCATCCTGGCAAGCCTACTAAAATGCATTCTGGGCAGGCATACTCCAACTGCGCAGGAAGCATGCAAAAGGCAAGGCATGGCTAGGCGCCAGCCATGGTCTCGGGAGGCTGATCTGTATATGTTCAGAATATGATTGTGAAATTTGCACTATACTATATTATATGTGTTGCCTGAAACTGCTCGTTTGCTGGATTCCTTCCCGTGTGATGACATCGGATACACAAGCCGTAAAATTGTAAGGACACAGACTGGCTCGCGGCACAATGCTTCTGAATTTGATGCAGATTGCAGCGGCCACATCAGAGTCGTCACGATGCTGACGATGGTGCAGGCGGACAACATTGGCGAAGAATCCTATGCCAACGACATAAATGGTGCCGCACGATGAAGGCTTGGCTGATGGTGTGGGAACAATGGCGAGGAAGCCATAGATTCACATCGCAATGATGCATACGCGGGCCGAGCATGTGATTCCCCACGACTACATGTTGTTTCCAGGGATGCTGTGAATCGAGCAAGGCATGAGCGTGGTGAGGATGACGCGGGGATGTGGATGGCTGTGGGTGACGCAGGTGATTTGAATGGTGTGGATGATCCTCAAAAAATGAACGTCAAACAGTGATCATGACAACCGCACAAAAGCTATACAGCAAAAGCATGCTGGCAATGCTTTGAACCGGCAACTCAGGGCCGACAACACGTTGCCACCACCAGCTCAAGGCTTACACAAGCCCCAAAGTGCCAAGAAGTGACACCAAGCCCAGCTCATGCGTCCTTCAAGCGAGCCTCAAGGCCACGATGGTTCTCCTCGCACGCATGCAGCATGCGCCCGGCGTGCCTGGGGCGCACGCGTGGCAGCACGCTCCTCCAGGCGAGACATCGCGCCGCTGTGTTCCTGCCTGTGCTCCTTGCAAGAATTCTTGAACGCAAGCAGCAAGCTGGAACGCCCTCGTGAAACTGCATGAAGAAATCCTCAAGCCGCTGATACAACGAAAAATTATAGTTGCACAGGGATAGGCAAGTTAGCCATAAATCTACCCATGAGACAAGCAGTGCATTTTTGTTCCTCTTGAGCCATACCACCGCGTCAAGGCATCCTGCAAACGTGAATGTGCAGATTGGAACACCCACAGCAACAACAACAACAACAACAACAACAACGCCCGTGTACAGGACGCAAGGCGCGGACGGCCTGCACAACCTTTGTTGGAAAAGGGTGCCGGGATGCAGTGGTGTAGAAGCAGTGCAGCTTCAGGTTGAATTCGGGAAAATCAAACTGCACATGAAAAGGACTGGATGTGCAATCAATGTTTGACATAGGATGCCCATGAGAACTGCAAGGAGGCCATGACCTTCGCGCCGACTGCAATCAAATTCCATGCCTACCAGAACACCATTGTTAAGAAGTGACCAGCAGACAACGCTAAAGACTTAAGAAGCTCGCCACTCGCTCGCAATCCAGCCTGGCAATGCACTTCGGCGGCACAATGGGCAAGCGCAACGTACTACACTGGAGCACGGATCATTGTTGTTGCTTGGTCCGCAACAACGACGTGGTCGGCAACCACGGCTATTTGGACAACCCGATCAAAAGGAAGAGGAGGAGAAGGAGGAGGTGGTCCACCAGTTCCACACTTCTTATCTGACGCGCATACCATCTGTGCTTGAAGAGCGTCGGCCTGCTTCTTGAGCTCGAGGTTCTGGCGCTTGACATGGTCAGGCTCTTCATCTGTTCTGTTGCATCTTTGATAAAGGCGCTTTTTGGTCGTTCCGGTGTTTTTGTCTGGGGTAGCTGTCGAGCGTCTTGAAGCACTCAAGTTCTCCAACGGTTTGCCTCAGTCTTGCCTGTCAGGCCCATACAGGGCAAGCGTTCTGGTCGCGGTCGTCGAGCCAAGGGGCCGGCCTGGTTGAGCAAGCAAAAGTCCGTGCTTCTTGCGATCGCGAAAAAGGAAGGGTCCCTCATGTTGCTCCTGCCTCATTCAGCGGTCCTTATACATAGTAGCATCGTCCTCAGCCATGGTATCGGGGCAATCGTACCGCAGAGCGGTACGGCTGATAACCTACAGTTACGCAAGGATAGGCATGTTAGCCACAAACCTGCCATTGAAACAAGCAGTGCGCACTTGTTTTTCTTGAGCCATGCCACCACGTCAAGGCATCCTGCAAATGTGAATGTACAGCTTGGAAACCTAGCAACAACAGGAACTGTCCTCCTGGCATTGCGTTCTTGCCCTCCTTCAAAAATTGTTCAGCCCTCGCCTGCAACTGCCTCTCCAGCTTGCGGCTGCTTTCCTCAATGCGCCCATCCAGTACGCGCCTCAGCTCCTGACACGCAGGGCTGAGAGTTTCGGCGCCGCTTTTGGGATGCCAGCCAAACTTGGCCAGCCTCCAAGCGGTTTTCCAACTCGTAGGAGTCCTAGTCGCCAGCGTGCCGCGCAGTTCTTCAGGCCAATAGAAACTCAGCACCTCGTAATGGGTGTCGAGGCTGCCCAAAGCCTGGAGCAAGTTCAAGGCAAATGAGGCCCTGGGGCCCTGAGGCCGTTGTGCGACCTTTCCCGCCTGAAGAGACGCATCGTTGGCCTGCAAAGTCAGCTTTGCTTTTCACGAAGCACAACTTAGCCGAAGTGTGCCGCGTGCCTTCATGGGCACGACGCCGTCCTCCTGTTCTGCAGGTTCAGCCATGTAAGACCGAAGCACGCACCGTGTCTGCTGCGTCCATGTAAGACCCAAGCACGAACAGTGTCTGCTGCGTCCTTCTGAGAAACTGGTAGAGATTGCACCTGAAGGAAGTAACTAACAAATCCTGATGTACTACCAGCACACTGGCCTTCGCATCGAGCTCATGGATCTTGGCTCGCAGCTCGGCAGCTGTGTCAATCGCTTCCTCCCCAGACGAACTCACATGTTCTTCTTGCGGAATCGGCAATCGGCAATCGGATGGCGAAAGTTCGGCCCGGTCCGCCCAGTCCTTTGCATCTTGCGCGGCAGCAGGCAAGAAGCTCCGCTCATCCGCCAGGTGCCACACCTGGCGTTGAGCGGAGCGTGCAGTGGAACGGGTCGGTTGAGATAAGCGGAAAACAAGAGTTCGGCGTGCCAGGGTCCCCACGGTGTCGCGTACGACAGCCATGTCCCGAAGAAGTCCTGCAAAAAGCAAAAGAGAAGTGCTTTGCCGAGCGACGAGCTCGCGTCCTTTCAGCAGCACGGCCTGCCGCTGGAGCTCCGCCTCGATGTCTGCGCCCGTGAGCCGTCCGAAGAAGCTTGTCCTCTCGCAGAGCCCCGAGCCTACAAAAGATCAAGAGAACCAAGAGAATCACACGAGAATCACACAAGAATCAAGAGACATGAGACTCATGAGACTAGTGAAAAAAGAGCCGTTACCCCACCCGTCCTGGAAGCCTGGCTCAGCTCCGGCTCCTGAAAGGCGGGCGGCGTGCCGGGCACGCTCCAGCTCTGAGCCGCATCCAAAGTTTTGCCTGTCCTTGCAAGGCAACGCAGACCACGCGAAAGACCAAAGACATGGTCCACATGGCCCACATGGCCCACATGGCCCACATGGCCCACCTCTCCGCATCGAACGCCAAAGGGGCCAAAGGACGGATGTCCGCCATGGCCTTGGCCTGCAACTCAAGGTTTGCCCACGGCGAGCGAAACTCGAGGCTGAGGCCCCTCGGGTTGAACACTTCGATCGTCCTCGGGAGCTGAGCCCTGCAAACCCGCTCAAGGCAAGGCGACAGCCCCACGTCCTGGAACCCGTGGTAGACGGGCGCTGAGTGCACCCGCGTATTCCCACTGCCTTGACTTCCAGTTGACAACCCCGGCACAAATTCAAACAGGACAGCCTCAAGCGCATGTCAGACATCGAATCTGAATCTGAAGCCAACCAAGCCGTTCCGTTACGTGCTTGTGAGCGTGTAATGCGTGTGCTGTTCCGTGTGCTGCACACTGCTAAGCTCACTGGCGCACAACGGCAAAGAGTCTGAGCCAAAAAGTGCAGATGGCTTTTTGACTTGAGGCATGACACAAAATTCCTGAAAATGGCCATCTGTGAGATTTTCAACCAGCGTGCTTCGCTGTTTGCGCATTGGCAAGCCACTATCCCTTGCTCCTATGAAAGCCGCGCAGGACAACACCTGGGCCAATCGAAACAAGCCAGGCGAAACGGCCAACAAGCCAGATACGTGCAGCCATGTGACGCCTATGGGTGGGCCGGAGCGCTGCACGCACTTTCCTCGGGAGCGGGTGCTGGGCGTTGAACTGCGCATGTGCTCAGCACCCGCCTCACCGTCGCCTGGAAGCAAACACACGCCCATAGCCGCAAGGAAACACGCAAACAGCACTATATGTAGCAATGCGCCAATCAAAGCAATGGAAATGACTTTGCTTGGCCGTGCCTTCGTGGCCTTTTGCCTTACAAGCGCTGGATGCAGCTGCTTTTGTCCGCTGAATATGGCTGCTTCTGCCCTAGCCCCTGATGCTGCACAGCTACTTGAGCTCTCTGTTGCGCACGTGGACCGCCGTCTGCCGAAGCATTGGACCCTCCACGATTGACCGCAGCCAGCTTTCCTTGCCAGCAAACAGATTCAGATTTGAACTGCGCAGCCGAGTGCCAAAGTGATAGGTAAGCTGCGTGGACCGGTTGCTCTTGGGTACGCACCTCCGCTTGGGCAAATAGCTATCAACTTGCACGCGACACCACGCGCCCAAGCAACAACATTGCGGCTACACTCTGACTGCTGCCAGCATACAGCATTCGAAGGTGGCCTGGGCGTGGCCTATCCGAGCGAAGCGCCCACTTTCCCAACCCCGACGACTTCTTGGGCTGCCGGGCCTGGGGGCTCTTTTCCTCCAAGACTTGGCTGCGAGGCAGCGCCTGCTTGCCGTCCGCCTCGCGGAAATTCACCTCCAGGGAAATTGCAAAATTGCCGCATCTGTGAAGATGTGAGCGAAACCAGCAATCTCCACAAGCATTTCCACCCCCAGTCCCCCCCACGCTTTGCAAGAACAAGAGGCATCACCCAGCGTGTGTACATATACAAATGGATGCGGCACTATCATGCCTAACGGCCCAACGCGCTCAAACCTGCAAGCATTGGCACGTGGCTCAAGGCCCTCGCATTCAAACGGCTCTCCCCGCCTGCGACGTGCGCAACTCTTCCAGGTGCAGCGCCAGGCGCCGCTGGAAGTCGTCGAAGCCGGGGCGCCGCGCCGCGCTCCACGTGGCTTCCGCCAGCGCGATGCCCCGTGGCCATGCCTGGGACTGAACGACTGTACGACTGAACGACTGAACGTCCGGCAGTTCTTTGAGCTTTGTTCTTGTTGCTCCCTCTTCTCCCTCTTCTCCCTCTTCTCCCCCTTCTCCCCCTTCTCTTTCTTTGTCTCATCATTTGAGTCACGATTAAACCACCAAAAAGTTTTAGTTGTTTCCAAAGACCAGGGTTCCCATCTTGGGTCCCATTTTTGCACTCCATCCAAATCAGCGATTCACGCCTTGTAGTCCAGGTTCCGTCGGTCCTCGATGTACCTGAGCCGAGCATTTCACTTCCACTTCTCTCCTTTCGCCTTGCCTCTCGCTTTCGCTGGGCTTCAGGTTTCTCAACTCCCCTTCGTCTTTTCTTTCCAATTCGTTGTTCGCTCTGTTCGCTCTGTTCGCTCTGTTCGCTCTGTTCGCTCTGTTCGCTCTGTTCGCTCTGTTCGCTCTCGCATCTCAAAAGCGGCGAGCTTTTCGGCTGATGTCTCCTTGAAAGAGCTCGGCTCTCCCTTCGGCTCCCGTCTCCTTTTTCGTCTCTACGTTCTCTCTCCGAGCAGCTCTCCCTTTCTCTCCCCACCCTTTCCTCGCCCTCCGCTTTCTCCGCCCGCTTTCGTACCTCTCCCTGCCTTTGTCTCGCCCTTTCTCTCTCTTCGCTCTTTCTTCTTTCTATCTTCGACTTCTCTTCTTTCCTCCTTCTTTCTTCTTTCTCCTTCCTCTTTTCATTCTTCGCCTCCTTCTTTCTCGACTCGCCGCCCTTCTCTCTTTCTTCTTTCTTTCCTCTCTTCGCTCGCGCCCCCTCGCCCTCTCGGCCTCTCGGCCTCTCGCCTCTCGCCCCCTCCGGGCCCCGGGCTCCGTCCAGAGCTGGCCCTGGCCCCCGAGCACCGCGGCCCCGTGGCCGTCGAAGTCCATCCTGCCGAAAAAGGAAGAGAGACAAGGGGAATAGAGGGAATAGAAAGGGAATAAGGAAGAGAGAAGAGAGAAGCGAAAAAGGGAATAGAGAGAAAGAAAAGGAAAAGGGAGAGAAGAGAGATAGGGAAAGGAACGGAGAGAAGGAAAGAACCGATAGCAAAGAAGGAAGAAGATCAAAAAAAAGAAGAGAAAGAAAAGCCCGAAGCGTCCGAAAAGAAAAAGCCGCAAGAGGCCCGCAGGAACCCAAAAAGGAGAGAGTAACGGAATGAGAAAATGGATTGCTATTGTTGCATATGGTTTTACTTTATTTCTATTTATTTATGTTTGCAGAAACTGCAAGAAACCAAAAAGGAGGCAAGCTGCATGAAAAGACATGCTTGCAGTTGTGAGGTAAACACTGACAAGACAAAGTTCTGATCTTGGAAAACAGCGCTCTTTGTTCAGAAACGCTCAAGGAAGCAAGCGAGGAACCAAGTTCTGAGACTTGGCGCTCGTAGACTTTCAGGAGATCCAGAAAGCCTGGCGCAGACTTGCGAGCCGCAGCCATGCGTTTCAAATGTCATATGTGAGCCTCCAATGGCGCCAAAAGCATCGGAAGCCCCGCCCTTGCTCTGAAACTGGTCCAGGTACGTGCCTCGAAACTCGAATGTCGAAACCAAAACGATTTCACTGCACAAGTCATGCCCTCAGCAACACCAAGCGCTGCCGCTTGCTGCCGCGCTGCGGTCTTGCGGACACATCACGACCGCATGGCCGCGGCTGGCGGCCTCTTCCGCCAAACGGCCTGGCACGCCAAGTCAGACGCCTAATCGGCGAAGCGAATCGGCGAACTGGATGCCTACACCCAGCCATGAGCGCCACAGCATGACAACGGTGTCCTTCGGCAGGTCCCTGCTCATCCTGACACGTTCAAATCACGTCCAACCCAGGCGTCTTTTGGCCAAAGGACGCATCATCCCACACCACAGCACGTCGACCAAGCTTGTTCACGGCAGCCACTGCCTCAGTTCCAGTGCTGAAACCACACTTCACGTCTGCTTGCCGGAAAAAAGGGCAGGAGGAGTTTGAACAAGGCCATTTACAAGGCCTTGCAGGTGAACTCTCGCGCGAAGGGCTGAGAGTTTGAATATTGGGGCCTCACCAATTGGAGTGACTATCGAAACGACCGACTGACCCGCAGCCATGTCAATGTTGTAACAACCCGGCCAACGAACCAACACGGAGCAACTGGAGCGAACCGCACACAACCCACGACTAACAACCTCTGGCAGCCACAGCCACAGCAAAAAACGGCAACGCCGAAAAGCTAAGTGCGACATCCACGACAAGCTGGCCAAGCTGCACTTTTGGTCATGACGCTGGCAATATCTTCCAGTCGCTTTTTGTGGTGCTCTGCGAGAAATGTTTGCGCGGCTTGTGAGGTAGACCACTGCCCAGTGACAACCTCGTCACCGCCCACCTGAGAATACAGCAATTGGGCTGGCATCTTTGACCGGAAAAATCTGGCATGCGCATTGAAGCATTGGGAATGCAAGAGGCATGGAAATAATCGGAATCCACCAGGTGAGCAGTGGATGAAATCACGTCAGCCATGAAGTTCATGCTCTGGTCTGAAGGCTTCATGGTGTGTTCCAGAGCACCTCAAGTTGGGCGCAGGCGGCTGCAGTCACAAGGATACACAAATATCACAAGGTCACTGCAAATAAAAGGTTTGACATGTCAGTTTCTAGGAATTTCTCCACCCCGGTTTTTAAGTTCCAACTCTAACAAAGCTGCCATCAAACTGTGCCATGCCAAGCCTGGAGACTACCCTCACGGCTACAACTCGCAAAAAGTGGATGGCGCAACGAGTCAATTCAAACCTGTCGTTCCAATCAATTGCTGCGAAAAATTGCTGGAATCTGACCTCCCCGCCTCCCCGCCTCCCCGCCTCCCCGCCTCCCCGCCTCCCCGCCTCCCCGCCTTCCCACCCGTGCCGAGACATCAATTGAACGTCTGTCGACTCGAGGCGCCGAACTGGGTGGCAACCACCGCAGGCGCATTCCCGAGGTCCGGGTACGCAGCCACGGCTGCCTCCGAGTCCCTCCCGAGCTCACATTCCATTCTCTCCTTCTCTCCTTTTCACCTTCCATCACCTTTCATCACCTTTCCGCTTTTCCCTCCCTAGCTTCTCTCCGCTTCGCGCCAGCGCCCATGGCACACGTCCAGACCAAACTCATGAAACAACACCCCATTGGCCTGGATGTGGCCAGGTGAATCGAGCTCTGGGACCACTTCAATGTGCAACGACTTCGCGTAAGCAACGATATCCTTCACCTCGTCTTCATTGTAGAAGCCTGGAATTTACAAGCAAACAAAAGCAAACTGCAAACACTGTGTTTCTTTTACAACTTTCGGCATTGCCACCAGGTCTTAGTCTGTTTGGCCAGCTTTGGACTTGCCAAGCGATACCTCAGACCTCACACCTGAGCGCTCAGCGCTCAGGGCCCGCTGGGCAAAAGGAAAAAGATTGGGATGTGAGAAAAATCGGAAAAATCAGAAAAATCGAAGCTCAGCTTGCCCCTCCTCCATAACGAGCGTCGGAGCCATGGCCATCTTCCCGAAACGCTCCCACCTGGCGCAATCTCGCGGCCTGGTTGGCATCGTTGGCAGCTTGAGCTTGCTGACCCCTCGCCTGTGTCAGCCTGGGGTACTTTGCCACTGGCATGCGCCAACCCTGATCGTCAGAGAGGTGCCAGTGAAAGCGGTTCAGCTTGTACAAAGCCTTGCACCCAAGCAGTCGCTGAGAATTGTCACAACCCGTTCAATAGCAGTTCAGCAAATGCGGCTTCAGCTACCATTGTGTCCAGGAGATGCTTCACATCGCTGGCATTGAAGAAGTGACGGCTGACGTCAAGCATCAGGCCCCGCCACTCGTGCACAGGTTCATCGCCTGTTCAAAAAAGAGATGCGACGGTTGCCACTCCCGCCCCCCCCCAAAAAAAACAAAACAGTAAAGAAGAGCCTACAATGCCTAGCATGTCCAGCACAAGAAATCGAAGTTCGTTGGTCAAAAACACAAAGCGATGCGAAATGATTTTTTATTGTTTGCATTTGCAAGAGCTTTGCAAAGTCTTTTCGTTTTCCCTCGTCTTCGGGTTTTCGACGTTTTCGCTTCCCCGAAGATCCGGCCCCATCCGGTCCGAGGAGCTGATCTGCACCTGGGGCAGCCGCCAGGTCCCGGCCGCACCTGGCCGAAGACCAACAAGCCGAACCGAACAACCTTCGAAGCTCAGCCAAACAGCTCTGCAACTCGGCCCGCGCTCAGCGTGCCCCGAGTGCAGAAAGGACAGTCCAGACCTCGACGTAGCAGTTGCCGCAACGTCATCAAGCCGTTGAAGAGGCCGTGGCTGCTAGAAGCCCCAATCCGCACCACCTGACACTCATCCGTTCGACGAGACCCCCATGCTGCAGGCGCTAGATGTACTCATGTCCGCGCCTTATCTGCAGAGGATACGGACAGTGTGTACTTCCTTGCCGGACCGAAAACCACAACCAAGCCAGTGAATGATTGCCGAACAGCATTGGCCCCGCATAGACAGCTGCGTCAGCCACTTGCGGATGCAATCTACAATTGCAGTGGTCAACATGACGTGCCCGTCGTTCGCCAGCGACTCCGCTCATGCAAAACTCGGGAACGACAAGCACCACGAACAGTAATAGCAGGAGTGCATAACATACTGCCTTGTTTGCACGGACAGTCCAACAAGACGCCGGGAAAAACCTGGCAGAAATTGAATATTTCGGCGCCTTTCAACTGCGACAGCTGGAGTATGCATTCAGGAGTCTCAGCATTGTCGCTGCCCTCCCGCACCAAGAGGAACTGAGGCAAATCGGCCTCGAGGCTTCGCACCCTATGCCTCTTCTTTCCCGCTTATTTGGCTCGTCCTGCGTTCTGTCTTCCGTCCTGTTCTTATGCTGCTTCTGCTTCTGCTTCGCAGTTCTCTCCTTCTCTCCGTCTTCTTCTTGCTTTGCTCTCTTCATCTCTTCTCGTCTTCTCTTCTTCTCTCCTTGTCTCCTCCGCTTCATCCTTTTGTTCCCCTTCTCTTCTTCACTTCTTGCCCCCAAGAAAACAAAGATGACCAACCAGAAACAACAGCAGAACAGCAATTAGCAGAAAAAGAGAAGAAACAAAGACGAAAAGAAATACGGAGGAGAAGAAGAAGCAGACGAAGATGAAGAAGAGCAAGAAGAAGAAGCTGAGAATTATTATTATTCTTGTTGTGCTTCTCGTTTTCTCTTCGTCTCGTCTTCTTATCTCCTCCTCTGCTCCTTCTTCTTCTTCTGCCTCTTCTACTTTTTGTTCTCTTCTTCTCTTTCTCCCCTCTTCTCTTCTTCTCCTTCTCTTCTTCTCTTCTTGTCCGCGTCTCCACTTATCTTCTTCTCTTCTTCTCTTCTTCTCTTTTTCTCCACTTCTCTTCTTCTCTTCTTCTCCACTTCTCCACTTCTCTTCTTCTCTACTGCTCTTCTTCTCTTCTTCTCTTCTTCTCTTCTTTTCTTCTTCTCCACTTCTCCACTTCTCTTCTTCTCTTCTCCTCTTCTTCTCTTCTTCTCTTCTTCTCTTCTTCTCTTCTTCTCTTCTTCTCTTCTTCTCTTCTTCTCTTCTTCTCTTCTTCTCTTCTTTTCTTCTTCTCTTCATCTCCACTTCTCTTCTTCTCTTCTTCTCTTCTTCTCTTCTTCTCTTCTTCTCTTCTTCTCTTCTTCTCTTCTTCTCTTCTTCTCTTCTTCTCTTCTTCTCTTCTTCTCTTCTTCTCTTCTTCTCTTCTTCTCTTCTTCTCTTCTTCTCTTCTCTTCTTCTCTTCTTCTCTTCTTCTCTTCTTTCTCTTCTTCTCCACTTCTCCACTTCTCTTCTTCTCTTCTCCTCTTCTTCTCTTCTTCTCTTCTTCTCTTCTTCTCTTCTTCTCTTCTTCTCTTCTTCTCTTCTTCTCTTCTTCTCTTCTTTTCTTCTTCTCTTCATCTCCACTTCTCTTCTCTTCTCCACTTCTCCACTTCTCCACTTCTCCACTTCTCTTCTTCTCTTCTTCTCTTCTTCTCTTCTTCTCTTCTTCTCTTCTTCCCTTCTTCTCTTCTTCTCTTCTTCTCTTCTTCTCTTCTTCTCTTCATCTCCACTCCTCCACTTCTCCACTTCTCCACTTCTCTTCTTCTCTTCTTCTCTTCTTCTCTTCTTGTCCGCGTCTCCACTTATCTTCTTCTCTTCTTCTCTTCTTCTCTTTTTCTCCACTTCTCTTCTTCTCTTCTCTTCTTCACTGCTCTTCTTCTCTTCTCTTCTTCTCTTCTCTTCTTCTCTTCTTCTGTTTTCTCTTCTTCTCTTCTTCTCTTCTTCTCTTCTTCTCTTCTTCTCTTCTTCTCTTCTTCTCTTCTTCTCTTCTTCTCTTCTTCTCTTCTTCTCTTCTTCTCTTCTTCTCTTCTTCTCTTCTTCTCTTCTTCTCTTCTTCTCTTCTTCTCTTCTTCTCTTCTTCTCTTCTTCTCTTCTTCTCTTCTTCTCTTCTTCTCTTCTTCTCTTCTTCTCTTCTTCTCTTCTCTTCTTCTCTTCTCTTCTTCTCTTCTTCTCTTCATCTCCACTCCTCCACTTCTCCACTTCTCCACTTCTCTTCTTCTCTTCTTCTCTTCTTCTCTTCTCCTCTTCTCTTCTTCTCTTCTCTTCTTCTCTTCTTCTCTTCTTATCTTCTCTTCTTCTCTTCTTCTCTTCTTCTCTTCTTCTCTTCTTCTCCACTTCTCCACTTCTCCACTTCTCCACTTCTCCACTTCGCTTCTTCTCTTCTTCTCTTCTGCTCTTCTTCTCCACTTCTCCACTTCTCCACTTCTCCACTTCTCTTCTTCTCTTCTTTTCTTCTCTTCTTCTCTTCATCTCTACTATTTTGTTTGCCTTTTCTTTGCTTCTGGCCCTTGGCTCACATCCTGAGATGCGCCACTGCCCCTGTTGCTTGAGGCTGCGACGCGGGTGTCCACCTTCAAGCCTGCCTTGCCCAGCACGCCATGCAGCGCCGCCCTCAGCGACGTGGCAAGGCTGATAACACCAAACAACAAACTGCCAGTAGCTGGATTCCTGGATGCGTTTCCGTTCACCTCTCTTGCTCTGCCCCAATCTGGAATGTACGATAGCAAAGGGATAGCGTGCTTGTCAAGCCTTGGGCGTTCAACAGACTCACTACTGCCTGCCTGCGTTGCGCGTGACTTGTTTGCAAAGATGATGAGGTCCGTCTCCAGTTTTGTGCGGCAATTCAAAGTCCGAGCAGCAAATCCGCCAAGCTCGGGGTGGACACGCGCACGGCTGCCCCAGTCGTCAACACCAAATCCTCCCCTCAGAGCGAGGGTTGCAGAAGTGCCGCTTGCCAAACTAGGACTCAGCTGAATAGTCTTGACATACCTCGCACTAGCCATAATTGCGCATGAAGCAAGTGTCCGCCAAGCAAGTCCATCGTCTTTGGCTGCGGGATAATGGCAACGCTTCGGGAGCGCAAGAAGGCTGATCGACCTTTGAACTTTCCTTGGCGTCCCAACCATGGCCACATCAAGTCAGCAATCTCACACATGGCTCAGGCTTTTTTGCATAGCCCTGGCATTAGCCTACCCCAGACAAAGGTTGGGGTGGGTTTAGGGAAGGTTTGGGTTGTTCGCATCGTTCTCAGCATGTGGTACTACATAGCTTGTACATGACCGCAGGCCTTCACTGCACACATGCCAGGCACGTGTAAGAATAGCCGCTCGGCACTGTATACATGCAGGGCACATGGTAAGCGCACCCGCCCAAGAGCACCCGCTCAGCACTGTATACAGGACAGGCACATGGTAAGAGCACCCGCTCGAAGGACTTGACTGCCAGGAGCACCCGCTCAGCACAGTATACATGCCAGATGCCAGGCACATGGAAAGCACAGCACGGCACACATGCAGAACCTGGTTAAGAGGATCCTTAACCCTTCTGAACCCTTCGCGCCTCAGCCCGTAACTCACATGGAGCAGCGCTCCAGCCCGGCAGCGGATGGCGTGATGACTTCCTCCGCTCACAGTTGAGCGCCTAAGGCCCTGCCTTTGCAGGCAAGTCTGACCTGCACACATCACCCTCCACAAGCACCTTGCCCACAAGTATTTTTCCAACCCCGCTTCATCCGGGGGCATCAGAGGCCTCAGTGTCGGACACCTCTCTTCCGCCAAGAGGTTCAGGCAAGTCGGTTGCAATGTTCTTGCATGGCTGGCGCTCCGGCAAGCGCAGGTGTGAGATCGGCACTGTTGTCTTCACGCAGGCAACAGCGCCGAGCTCTGCGCAGCGCTCTCAAGAATGATTGCTGGAGCCGCAGCTGGGGCGCTACGTTGTCGCGTCCGCATTTCTCTACACAATCCGATGATGGCCCTGGGCAGCGCGCCATTACATCTAAGCCTGACTGGTTTGCGGCACACACTTGCAAGCACCTGCGGAAAGCCAACAAGGCGGCGCAATACGACATGGACACGCCGCCTCACGCTAGCAAGAAATCTTGCTCGGCCCGCCTGGCCCGCAAAGACTCGATCTGGCCCACTAGCAACCTCCCAAAAGTTGCTGCATCATTGCCCAAGGTCAAGCCAAAAGCGCTGACACCCAAGGCGTAAGATGAGACTAGCACGCATGTCACCGGCTAGGTTTTAGATTGCGGGCAAGCATGTTGAAAACGATGCCGAGGCCTGCACCTACCCTAAACCTACCCCAAACCTACCCTAAACCCAGATCTGCCAGAGATACTGTGCCAGGGCTGGGCAAATAAAAAAAATGTTTCCTCTCAAACACTCGTGCTTTTCCAGCTCTTAACGGCTGGCTTAATGCCGCTACAGCTCTAAGAAAGCTGTGTTTCCGAGAGCTGGACGATGATTCGGTATCCTTCACATGCTGGAACCTGGCGTTGGGAGCATGCCCGCCCGTCTGGCCAGTAAACGTGCCTGGCGCTTGTCACGCGCAGCCCGTGGCTGGTGGCATCTCCAGCCTCGAAATCACTCTCTGCATCAAAAGCTACGCACACACTGAGCTCCCAGCTTTGAAGGCCAAAATTCCAGGCAAAATGGCCAGCAGCAACCTGGAAGCCCGCCCACAAGCGACAACCACTCAAAAAACGTGCGCCTGGCAGCCAGCCCAGCTAACATTGAAGCGGACAAATCCTGCAGCAAGTTCCAAGGAAAGTGCGGAAACCGAACGGAAGCGATCAACTGCAGGGAAGATCTAGCTGCAAAGTCACTCTCACACTGAAAAGCAACATCACAAAGACGCGGGGTCCTTGCGGACCAGTGGCTCGCAAAGAACTGTAGAGAGCCAGCAACGTCAAAACGACAAACATAAGCAAGCGCAAAGCATGCGTCCGAGCAAGACGTAACGGCAGATGAGGGCCAACCAGCCTGGACAAAGTAGGAACATTGGAACGGCAAGCCTAACCAAACAGAAAAAGCATGCGGCTGAGCAATGTGTACTGCCCGAACCCGTGTACTCCCAGATGAGCCATCCCATTTTTCTTAATTCTGCCAAGGCCATGAATCTTGCGCCGGAAAACATCAAGTTGCTTTTCCGACATAAATAGGCTTAGTTAGTAATATTTTCATTTGCCATGTGTTGGAAGCATCATCGGGTGTGTCGCGTTAGTGACAATCCCGTGATGTTTGGCTCAAGTTTGGAGTGTCCTTTTGGACAGGGTTGTGGCAGCTGGAGAAAGACTTTGCTTGTTTTGTTGCTGAACACGTTGGCCTGCACATTAAGCCGACCTACATCAGCCACAATGATGCCTAAAACGGTCCGACCCAGGTAGCACAGCAACGCCAAGGCAAGCCAAACAAGAATCCGCATGAGATGGAACGAAAGCCAGTGCCAGATATGATGCCAAAAGCACACTACACAGGCTCTGGCCTCATCACTGCTCATCGACAAGCACACGCACGCAGCCACACCTGAAAATGCACCCGCGGAGCCTGTCGAAGCTCCAACCACACAGACAGACAGAGACAGACAGAGACAGACAGACAAACAAGACAGACAGACAGACAGAGACTGAAACAAACAGAGACAGACAGCGACAGAAAGAGACAGAGAGAGACAGAGACAGAGAAAGACAGAGACAGAAAGAGAGAGACAGAGACAGAGACAGAGACAGAGACAGAGAAAGAGAAAGAGAAAGAGACAGAGACAGAGACAGAGACAGAGACAGAGACAGACAGACAGCATACGCACAAACTGTTAAAACCCTCCTGGCCCCGTGCCTAAACTGGGAAGCAGTTCTGAGGTCCGTGTTTGTGTTGCTTACAAGGTTCCATTGATTGCCATTTGGCTCAAGTCACAAGTGATGTTCAAGATCTTATGTGAAGCTGCGTTCATACGTGATCGGCAATTGAGAGCGGAAAACACTTCGCTTGCGCTGCATTTGTCGGGACCACTGTTGTAACTATTATTCCTTCTCCCTTACAACAGTTACACGGGTTCGGCTATAACGGTTTGACCGTCTCTTGACAAGTTATCAGCCGTAACGACAAGCTCTACGCTGCACAGAGAGACAGCTGGTTTATTGCGGGTACAAAGGAACAATAACCTACACGGTACAATGGCATCTTCAGCGAGCCAAGTACTGCAACTTTTGGAACAGCAGCTCAGAGGGATCCAATGGATTGATGGCTCTTCCTGCGGTGATGGATTTGGTCGCAGATTTACAGGATGAACCTGGGAGCGGAGGATCCGCGTTATTCAGCGACATATCCACCCCTACAAGATCATGGAAGCAGATCGATGTTCGTCAAGAGTCGAAGCAAAGAGAATCCCCGCCGAGAAGATCATCATCTTCGCCTGCGACACCACGGACGTCGCAGAAGGGCGTGAGGTCAACATCAAAAGGTGGGAGATCTAAATCGCCCACCAGTGCAGAGTTTCGCGCCGCAATTAAAGAAAAGAACAAGATGGAGATGGAGATCGGGGAATACCAAAAGACACTTGATGAAATGTCGGCAGCAATGGCGAATCTTCATCAAGAAGACTATGGGAGCACCATCCGGATCCAGGAGCTGGAGAGACGATGCGAGATTGCCAGCAAGCAGTCGGGACATCTTGTGAGTCACCACCAACACCACATGGCTGAGGCATGGCGCAAGTTTGAGGAGGAAGCCCAACAGATGCGCAAGGTGGAAATGAACGCATATCAGTACGGGGAAAAGAAAGACATGGAGTCGAATGTTATAATACAACAGATGAGACAAGCTGAAGGAACTATTATGGAGCAGAAGCGGGAGATTGCAGTGATGAAATCCTACATGGCAAGCGAGAAGTCGGCCGCGCAGGAATCAGCTATACATGCAAATCAGATACACCGTGAGGCTTCACAACAAATATCAGTTTATCCGCAACAGATCAGAGGTATTGAATCGTCTACATCTATTGAGAAGTTCAACGAGGAGGAGATGGTCCAAAGTCTGAAATCACAGTTGGAGCATGCACTCGTCAAACGCCCCGAGACGTACTCTATGGAGGACTCCAGGGAGCAACTGATGGCGAGACTGAACGACGTTACAACATTCGCGGAGCAAGAATCGAAGAGAGCAGAGTGCATACTTCGCGAGAAGGAAGAGATCGTCAAACAGTATGAATCCGACGTGTTGAAGAAGGACCAGATGATTGCTATCGAGGGTAGTCATCGTCAAGATGCGATCTTGGAGTTAGCCCAGGTCAGAGAAACAAAACAGGAAGAGCGGTGCACGATGGACGAGAAGTCGAAGGAGGCCGAGTACTGGAGATTGACAGCTAAAGGAGTGTATGATGAGTACCTCGAGATGCGTGAACTTGGCAGTGCTGTTGACAGTTCCCGTGAACATATTTTGGGCGAAATTGCCGGTCTGACCAGCTCCCTGAGTGGGTCAATTCGGCTATGCCCTGTGCTTTGCAATCAGTGAAGACAGAGATAGAGAGTGAAGCTGTAGCTGGAAGAAGGGCTCTCCAGATTTTCGGCATTCCTTGTACGCCCGAGGAGTTTGTGTATCAAGCAGCGTTGCGCAAGCACCCCCGGGATCTGGTACAGTTGTTGCCGGGCGACCTTTCAGATGTGGTGGGGTGCAATTCTCCGGACACCAGCATGTGCTTTGGGAAGGACTGAGACAATGGAACTACGAGCACTCAAGAAGCTGGAAACACAGGAAGCCTCTAGCAGTAAAGATGGACATCGTGAACGAGCAGTAGTGAAACGCGCTGAGGGAGGACCCCAAGCTAATTCGACTAGGGTAGACAAGAGGGTGACTGGGTTATTCCCGTCATCATCATCATCGAATCTGATCCCTAATTTGTCACTAATGCCAGGTTCGATTCTCTTTCCGTCTTTTGGTGATCCAATGATCGATGTACACCTATCCCAGATGCAAGGGGTTGTTGGGCATGTCCCACAATCCGCTACTACAACTGGTGGTAGAGGTGATGGAGGGGGAAACAACGGTACTACAGTTAGAGTAGCCCTTGCCCATCTTTTTGTGGTACCCGAGCGTGACCCCCACCCTACGCAAGAACAGCATTTTTCAACCATTTTTTCACTATTCAAATCGTCATCCTTATTCATCATGCATATTTCCACTCAAAACATTTCATAACAGTCTCAACCTCAAAATCCATCAAAAAAAATACATTTTTCTCATTTTCTATTCCATCATTCTTGTCATTGTTAGGATGCTTGAGTGGAAATAGGAGTATAGGGTGGTTCATATGATATGGTTATTGATGGTAGGATGCATGGGCAAGGTTAAGCTCATTCATAAAAAAAAATCAAAAGTAATATTGTTCAAAAAAGTAATATTTTCAAAATATAATATTTTCAAAAAAATATCTTCAAAAAAAAATAATAATTCAAAAACTAAAGTTTCAAAAAAAAACAAAAATATTTTCAAAAAAAAAGAGTAATTTTTCAAAACATAAATTTTTCAAAAATATTATTCCAAAAATTATGATAAATTATCTTACAATATTTGATCATAAATTTTTTGTAGAAATATTATGGGCAAGGTTATGTTCATTCATTAAAAAAACACAAAAACAAATTTTATAGAGTATAACTATGGTATAATGAAAGGTTGTAAAGTTTTACAATGTTAATTTATATTATAATAACATAATATAAATATACTGTCGCCCCAAAAAAGGGGGAACCCCACCAAATTTCAAGAAAAACATGCTGTTTTGTCGTTGGATTATTATCTATGCATAAACCCCCGTATCTTCATCATAGTCAATTTGATAAAATGTCATAGTTGAAGCCTTCGGTTCTTTAATTTCTTTGTTATTAAGTTTGTTTAAATAAATATTTCTTTTATTTTTATATTCACCATTGGTTCTATCTACTTCTTTACTTTGATAACTGTTTGTTAAAGGTTTCTTCTTTTCCGTTTTTTGCAAGATTTCTAAAATATTCTTATTCTGTTCTAAAACCTTGTTCAGTTGTTTAACAATCTTTTCTAATCCTTCATCCATGTAAATATATATATTATATTATAAAATAAAACTTTTAAAACTAAACTTTTATTTTACAAAATCATATATCATTATAAGTCAATTCAAAATTAGTTATTGTGTAACTCGTTAAATTATTATTCAATTTACCAATTAAATTACAAATAATAGTTTTTCTAAATGTTGAATATTTATGAAACTTTTCAATAATATCTGTAATATAAATTATTAAACATTTAATACATTCAAACACATTAACAACATTAATGTTACTATTTTTGTAAATAGTATTCATTTTTCTCAATGTAATTTCATAAAACTGAATAGCATTTTTATTATCATAATTAGCAATAAATCTTAAAGTATATGAATATATTCTTTTACAATAAAATTTTAAATCTGATTGTTCAAATAAATCAGCATAATTAATAGAATTATAAAACATGTTAAAATCAATTTTACTATTTCTAAAGTCGTTAACAAAATTAATTAATATATCATTTTCGTTATATTCTTCAATAAAATTATTTAATTTCAATTCTTTTACATCAATGAATTTAAGAATATTATTTATAACATCTTGCATTATAAATAATAATAGAAATAATTTTAAATACTAGTTTTTCATCATTTGTTTAACAGTTTCCTGTGTTTCGTTTTCTCCATTATCGGATGGAGTAGCGTTCCGACCCCATTTAAATGTAATATTATGAACATCTGTTTCTAAGTTGATACTGTCTTTAGTTTTATCGATATTCATTTTCTTATCATTCTTACTTAGTTTGAAACTTGGCGGAATACACGAACATTTACAGTTTCCTTTCTTTTCTATTTGTAATTCATTTTTTAATTCCAAC